AGACTTTATATTGCTAGTAAGTTTGTAAAATTTTTATATATAAATCATTGTGTGTAATAACTGTTATTGTAAATTGTATTGTTGTTTGTATATTCAAACATATTTGTGTTAAAAAAGAAAACTACGTGTATCAATCTTGTTGGCAAATATCATAAATTAACTATATATCGGCTTTTACTTAAGTGCTCATCCAAAGTACAATTTAACTACTAAATTTAAATTATCATTTAACTCGGTTTTAGACCACTCGAAATTTTAAGACGTAACAAACAGCTTGATAACAACTATTTGTTCCTTATTTTGAATGTAATAATCATGTTTCCCACAATTATATCAATTTCATCTTTCTGATATCTTTTGAGAACTCTTATTACATATAGATCTTTGCCCGCAGTTCGTGGTAGTATGCCCCTTGAAGGGTAGTATGCCCCTTCAAGTTACACTTAAAATATCTATTATCCTATATCGAAATGAATAAAAACCCTATAATTCGAGTACTTTCGAAAGGTGGACATGTCTTCTTCAGGGGAAAGCTATATCTTCTGTGATGTTTAACTAGATACCTTATTAATTATTTCAGTTCTTCTCGACTAATGCTACGAGGAGTTGATGTTTCAATACTGTAGAATCCAATATCCTTGCAACTTCTAGATGTTGCCTTTATTAGTTCATCTACAATCTTAATGTACTAGTTTCATTGCCAACTTCAGAGTTTACTTTAAAGGTATATATCTCCTTTGTTTTAGCCTGAGCCCCATATTCTTTAAATTGTTCATCTGCCAACAAATCCCTCATCTTACGAGAAATGTCTAGGTAAGATAATTAACCAAGCCTTTTTAAATCCTATGTAAATTCTGCTAAGACCTCTTTTTTTTCTCTGTACCATATTTTGGATTTTGCTTTGGATACTTCTCTCTGATTTGACACTCCAAACCTGTTGGATGAGGCAGCTACCAAAAGCTTGAGAGTTGTTGTGGCTCTCAGCTGGAAGGTTAATTCTGTCTTGTCATGGCTGGAGAAGTTCAGGAATGTTCTTCTGTAACAGGTGGTACAGCAGTAATGGTAATAAGTGTACATCAAATAAGTTTTCCTATTCCATATTTGGTAGTAGATGATGTTTTTGGTTGGAACTCTTAAGTAAATTCAGAAAGAGTTTGGGCAATTAAAAATTTGCCTTTAATAATTCATTTTCCATATACTTTATTTTGTCACCAGTGTTCTTTTCTACTTTAATGATGCTTTTTTCTATCCCTTTGATGTTTTTCTTTACTTAAGTTTAGACTTTTGTACTTTGCTGATGTCCTTCTGCAATTCTCCAAAGTTTCCATTCTTCCTTAAATACTATGTCTCGTTCTCGTAACTCCTCTCTTAAATTTCCATCTCTTGATCTTCTTTTAATTTTCTGTAACTTTCTTCTTGATCTTTAAATTTCTTTTTGTCTCCTTCTTCCTGGTATTTTTTTAATTTTTTATTTCCTTCTTCGAAATCTTGCCTTAATAATTTCATCATCTCATGGAACATTTCAATCCCAGTCCTTGATCTCGTGGTCGCAATTTGAATGGTTGAAGTTCAGTCAAAGTTCTATTTTACCTTCACCAAATAATCCCGCTTCTGATACCAGAGTAGTAGCATAGTTCTCTCACTGACGCGTTTTAAAAAAATAGTATATTAAAATGATTCAGCCTCCAGTCTACGTAACAATAGTAGATTATTTCATCCTTTAATCTTATATAGATTGAGAATAGTGGTGTCTCCCGTTTACGTCTGTCGCTTCCCGCGCTGCGTTTGAAAAGCTGCACACACTAATAAAACTCAACATTCACTTTAGAAAATGACGGAAGAACAAGAATGATTAATGTCAAATTTTATTTCGAAGCAGGATATTCTAAACTAATTTGTTAGGAATTAATCTCACTATCATTCACATTTCCAAATGTGACGTAACTTAAAGAATAAAATATAGATTTACCGTATGTTATTGATGAGCGGCTCTTAGCATGACTGAAATGTTCAACAATTACTTTTCATGGTAGGTGGTACAAGTAGCTCAGAGCCTTGGCTTTGAGTGAAACCAAAAGTGCAACACAATTAATATTTTTAAAGTCTGTGAAATAATTTAAACTGATATATAAATTTAAACTTTTCCCGTCACTGAGGACGGACACTTTTGCTTGTGTGTCTATAAACTTGAACACTACCGTAATTTGATGTAGGCCTACCTTACGAATGACATTAACTAACTTAAAACAAAGCAACTTACTTCTACAAAGTAAGCACAATAACCAACTCACTGACTGATTTACACTATATTGTTACGATAGCGGGGGTCACGTGACGCTAGTAACACGTCATATTCTCGAAGGTTCGTGAATGTCCGAGTGTTTACTAGATCTGCGGTATTCTTGTATACAAGACCGCCAAGAAGTGACGGCAAT